TCTTCTTCTTCTTCTTCTTCTTCTTCTTCTTCTTCTTCTTCTTCTTCCTCCACAAGTTGTTATTTCAGAGGAATGATGAATGTTTGGTTCTCTTAGATGGCTTACTGTACAGAGGAGAAGACTTTTCTAGAAAGTCCCATAGGCAAGGCTTTGGGATAGGGTAGAAACAAGGTTCAGACCCAACTCTACGGGCAGGCACAGTGTAGCATCTGGCTCTGAAACTAAGGAATTAGAATTCCAGACTGTTTCACTTGAGTGAACTCCAGGATGACCTTGGATTTCCTGCTCCATCTCCCCAGTGCCGGGATTATGGGTGTGGCTAGTGTAAATGCTGCTGTGGATTGAACCATGGGTCTCCCAAATGCTAGGTAAGTATTCATCCACTGAGCTGATGAGACTGAACCCCAGGATTCCTGTATGCTAGGTAAGTACTCATCCACTGAGCTGCTGAGACTGAACCCCAGGATTCCTGTATGCTAGGTAAGTACCCATCCACTGAGCTGCAAGTTTCCTCCAGGAGTCCGAGTTACTGGGAACCTGGTCAATGGAGGGGCTCTGCTAACTGTAGAGGTCCACGCTCTCTTGGAGATGTCCTATGATCCAGACCCCATTCACTCTGGGGCAAACTGAGCAGGGCTCAGAGGTGGTGGTGGCTGACCTATGAATGACTTCTGGATAGCTTCTCCACCCACTTTGTTCTCCATGGTCAAGAAAAGAAAGAAGGGAGGAGGGATGGGGAGGAGGAGGAAGAGGAGGAGGAGGAAGAGGAGGAGGAGGAGGAGGCTGACCCACATTTAGTAGCAGCCACCACCTGTCTAGGCTTGGGTCCTCGTGCCCCTCACCTGGGAATCAGAGATCTCCGAGGGCTTCTCAGTCAGACTGCTGCTCTCAGCTGGGATGAGGTCATTGTACTTGGTGACATCTTCATCAGAGTAATGTAGGCTGCCCGGACTGGGCCTGGGAGGGGACCTAGGGAGAGAAGGGAGTGAGGCTGAGAGGTAGCGTAGCCTCAGAGAAGTCTGGAGGAATGCAGGCCACCAGCCCCTCCACCCTAGGTTCCTCCTTGTAACCCCACTGTGTCAGCCTGGGCCTTAGAGAAGGGGGTTGGGGAGGGAGGAGGGTTTAGAGGAGGAGGAGTGGTCCTTGAACATACAGGGCAAATGGAATTTGTGTCTTTGTGCTTGGGCACATACATGTATGCACAAACATTACTGAGAACAGTTCAGCTTGAATCTGGCTTAGTGAAAATGAGATTTTTCTCATTCCCATGGGGGCATAGAACATGCAGACCTCTATGTGTGTGTCCTATGAGTAGGAGGGGAAGGGGGACAAGAGGAGGTGGGGCCATGGGTGAAATGCCCCCTTGTTCCCTGTGGCAGGCCCAGGAGCCTGCTCAGCGGGGCTGTGGCTGAGATGCCAGGCTTGGATGAGTTTAACCACGGCTTCAAATGCTTCTTTCTTTGGAAGCCTGGATTGGCGAGGGATGAGAGCCTGCCTGCTCCGCCCTCAGCCTCCCCTCTACCCCCTTGGAGAAGTACACATGGCTTATCCCTGCAAGAGGAGACAGAGAGAAGCTTTGTGAATTCGCTCAAAGAGGTTGCCTGCTCGCACGCCCTCCCCTCCCCAGCCTGCTGCCTCCACTGGACCGTGAATGTCAACACACTGAAGCTGGAGACAGGAGTCCCTTTGGCTGTGGCCTCAACTTCCCTTGAGCTTTTGGGAGCATAAAACTGCCCAGTCCTATCAGAGAAGGACCAGGTGGGCCCCAGAAGCATCCCTGGCCCTTGAGAATGGGCAGCCTGGTGGCTTCAGGGAAGAGTATCCAGGAGAGACTGGAGTCAGAAAGAAGTCAGGAATGGCCGTTGAGTCGCACCAGAATGGCCTCTGGTGTTTTCATTGTTTTGGGCTTTTGAGAAAGGATCCCATTTGATGCAGTCTGGCCTCAAACACTATGGAAATTCAGGGCTGACCTTTCAGTCCTGACCCTCACGGCCTTGTCTCCCTAGAACCCTGCCAGGGTTACAGGGATGCATCAACACATCCAGTTTTCACAGTGCTGGGGATCAAACCCAGGGCCTTAAGAGTGATCGGCAAGCTCTCTGGCAGCTCAGCTACATACCTCAAGGCCTTTCCATGCTAACTGCTTCCAGAGGCTGAAAGATGGTGGCCTTTACTCCAACAAAAGTAAGTCAAGCCCAGGGAAGAAGGTTTTCACTCTCTCCTGGCTAAAAAAAGCGTAAGCAATAGGCTAGTCCCTGGCACCTCTCACTGAGGTGCCTTGGCTGGGTCCAGCTCACCTCGGGGTGTATGACCATCTGCAAGACCAGTTACTAGTGCTACTGACCTGACTGCAAACAACTGTCGGTTGGCTTCCACAATGCTGTATGTTTCTGCACTCTGCAGCAATTGGCAGAGACTCTTAGTATCCACCTCCTCGTGGATTTTCTAACATCCTCTAAACTGTGATTGGGTCTGGTGGGACTAACACAAATGCCTAATCATCTTGCTGAGGTCCCACATGACCTTCTTTTGAGCATTGCCAGCCCTGAAGCTTGGATGCTATTTCCCAGGGAAGGGGAAGGCCACGCGGGCATGACATGTTCCATGCTCCTTCCCAGCCATCACTGCTGGCCGCTGGTGTGTGGCCCTCAAGTCTCTGTCCTCTGTCCCTACATGCAGGCACAGTACCTGGTGTACAAGCCGTTCTTCCTGCAGAAGGAGTTCTTTACGGACAGCCGCCGGTTGTTGAGTTCCAGAGCGGGGAAACTGCTTTCATCCAAACTCAGCATCTCCCCGTGGCCGAGCGCACCTGACTTGGTATTCCCTCCTGAGGGCAAAGTAGTGTGGGAGATGGATGGAAGATTGGTACCCGTCAGGTCACACAGCCATTCCTTCCCAGTTCCATTCTCCCACTTAGCCTGGATTCTCCCTTTTCTTCCTTGTTAATATCAAGACCCAGAGTAGAGCCTGGGGTTGTGTGGAGGAATTCCTGGCTGCCCTGCCTGAGAGGGTACATTGCTAGGAGAGAGATCTTCCCAGCCCACAACATAAGGGAGACCCTCAGGAGTCAAACCTGCCATGGAGAGGGTAGGAGGATGCAGGGTCACTTACCTGAATCTGTCTTCTTGGAGTACTTCTTGCTCTGACCTCGGATGATGAGTACAAAGACCAGAAGCAGGATGAAAATGAGACCCACAAGGGCAATGACCACCAAGAACCACCATTCCTCATAAAACGGGCTGGCTTTCTGGGCTGCAACAGGGGTACAGTGTCAGGACCTGGATGCTCAATACTCTCCTGCCCGCAAGCCTTCCTGGTCCATCTGGGGTCCCACTGCCTGCTCATGGGCGTTATCAGTAGGTGGGGGGTCTGTGCACTCTAAAAGTTCCAGCTTTGATCTGCTGGCAAGGGTTTGTCTGGAGGACCATTTTAAGAAGAGTTTTATGGTTTAGTTGATTGAGAATTCCCTGGGTTTATTAAGAAGGAGTGCTGGGATCGATGAATGATGTCTGCCAGGGGATCAAGAAGGGAGAGTAGCAGTATGTTAGCTGCTTTTTTGTTGTTTCTACTCTCTTGACTTTGGAAAAAAAGACTATGATAGACAGAATCTAATTTATGTGTGGAAAGATGCTTCTCTGGCCATTAGGAAGCCTGAGAGAACTTTTCCTCAAAGTTATAGTGAATGTTTTTTGTTGTTTTCGTTTGTTTTACAGATGGCAGAAAGCTAAGGAAGTTTATTTTCATCTCAGACTCTTTGTATTTCATAATTCAGTGCTATCTATCTGGGCATAGGAGCAGTAAGTGGGTGGAAAAAGAGCTGGGTTGCTAACGCCCAAGCAGAGAGCAGAAGTGAAATTTTGAGCTGAATTTCTGCCTTCCTATTTAAAGTGGTCAGTAACTGATCAGGGCCATAGATGTAGGCCTAGTGCCCCATGTGAACCCTAAGATGGATGGGAGGGATGAAGAAAGGGGGAGGGTGGGGCAGTGAACATGGCCCACCTGGGTGCTGCCCAATAGGGTCTTAGAGGCCACCAGTGTTAGCCCATGGCCCTAGGTGTTGTCTGTTGGGAGTGGGGTGAGGTGGCTTCCATAGAACCATGGTTTACAGCCTGGATGGCAACTCCCCTTGAGGCTGTGAACTGCTGTAGGCCTAGGACCCAGAGCTCATGGTAAGAGAAACTGAGGGACGGTACAATTTGTATGACCACCTTGATACTTCTGCTACCCAGTGTTTGCCTTCTCTCCCCACACCCCCACCCTCCCAGCATGTCACCAGCTCTTCCAAGGACTCTCTGACCTGTCACCCTACGGGCTGGTACCTGGCACAGACTGGGAGGGGCTGCTGGGAGTGCCAAAGCCGTAGTCATTGACTGCGATGACGCGGAAGTCGTAGCTTACACCTGGCTTCAGGATGTCCATGCTGAAGGTATAGGAAGTCACCTCCTTGGGGATATCCTTGATGAGGATGTCCCAGAGCCCCTCATCTGCAGGAGCATAGAGAAGAGACAGTGAGGTGGAGGAGCCTCAGATCCCACCTGATCTGGTTCTAGCTGCAACCCCTTGAGTGTGGGTCCCACCTAATCAGTGGCTCAACACACGCCTGAGCCTGGCTCTTAGGATGCTCTTGTGGAGGTCTTAGAGACAGATACTTTCTGGGAGGGTATGCCTCTAAATCTTGTCTCTAAAATGAAAACATCTGTAAAATATTTAAAAGATGCACTATGTAGCAAAGTCTTTAACAACCAAACCAATACAGGCTGAACACCTTAATCAGAAAAACTCTTAACAAAAAAAAAAAAAAAAAAAGCCAGGCGGTGGTGGCGCACGCCTTTAATCCCAGCACTTGGGAGGCAGAGGCAGGTGGATTTCTGAGTTCGAGGCCAGCCTGGTCTACAGAGTGAGTTCCAGGACAGCCAGGGCTACACAGAGAAACCCTGTCTCAAAAAACCAAAAAAAACAAAAACAAAAAACGAAAAACAGAAAAACTCTTAACATCGACATGCCTGTGATCTTAGCACTCTGAAGGTCAAAGCTGGAAGATATCAAGTTTGAGGCCAGCCTAGGATATATAGTCAGACCTAAAAGAATAATAATAATAATAATAATAATAATAATATAATAAATCCAAAATGCTCCCAAAAAGAAACATTTTGAGACTTGTAACATCTCAAGCAGAAAGATTTCACATGGTTAAACTTTACTTCATGTACAAAATATTAAAGTAGTCTATAAAATTAATTTTTAGGCTATGTATATAAGGTATATCACATAAGAAAATTTATGTTTATGTGTGTGTCTATCTAAAACATATTTGTATATTTGCATATATATAGTATATAAATGCAATTATATAGTCTTTTTTTTTGTTTTTTGTTTTTGTTTTTCGAGACAGGGTTTCTCTGTGTAGCCCTGGCTGTCCTGGAACTCACTCTGTAGACCAGGCTGGCCTCGAACTCAGAAATCCGCCTGCCTCTGCCTCCCAAGTGCCGGGATTAAAGGCGTGCGCCACCACCGCCTGGCGCAATTATAGTCTCATTCTATATTATATTCTATGTATAATATATATTATATAATTGTATTCTATAAGATAAGTTGTATATATATGGAGATATTCTTTTTTAAAGATTTATTTATTTATTTTATGTATATGAGTACACTGTAGCTGTCTTCAGAAGAGGGCATCAGATCCCATTACAGATGGTTGTGAGCCACCATGTGGTTGCTGGGAATTGAACTCAGGACCTCTGGAAGAGCAGCCAGTACTCTTAACCACTGAGCCATCTCACCAGCCCCATATGGAGATATTCTTAAACTGGAAAATATTCCTAACTTGGAAAACTTTGGCTCCCACACGTTTCAGGTAAGGGACACTCAGTTTCTACCAGCATCCAGAGACACAGACTCCTTTTGTGATATTTAATCTTCTCTGTCAGGCTGACTGGATGTGGAATCACTAGGAGAGATGTCTAGGAGTGTTTCCTTAGAGGCTTAACTGAACAGGGAAGACCCAGCTCCAACACGGGCAGCGTCCTCCCAGAGTAAGAAGAGGGAAAGAAGAGCTGAGACCAGCATGTCTCTTCCTGCTCCCTGACTGTTGCCTGTGAGCAGTCACCTCACTTGCTGGCTGCCATGCATTCCCTGGGCAGGACAGATAGTACCCTTAAGACTAAAGAGGGCTAAATAAACCCTCCCTTCCTTAAGCTGTTTTTGTTTGGCAGTTTGTCATAGCAATGACAGACATAATACACATTCCTATTTCAAATATACTAGGTAGTGTCAATAGATAACATGAGAGGAATGCTTTTTTGAATTTTGAGATAGGGTCTTTGTAGCCAAGGCTAGCCTTGACCTCTGTTCATCTGCCTCAGCCTTTCGAGTGCTGGGGTTATAGGCTGTCTGGGAATGCAGCCTCAATTTTCCAGCTCTCCCTGATGCAGTGGCCCTGGCTTTGCCTTCAGGGAGCTCATTCTTCTGTCAACTTCTGAGCTACTCTCGTGTACCAGGGCTAGCTTCCCAATTCCAGAACATTCTTTCCTGGATTGAAGGAATCTGTTGCTCTTACCACACTTTCCCTCAGATCCAGCAGGGGAATCCAGGACTAAGGAATAAGTAGATATCACTGCCCTAGCATCATTTGAAAAAACATTTTGTACCAAGTGTACTGCAAGCCCAGTCGAGGGCAGCCTTTCTCTCTCCATGATAGACCCTGCCAGTTTACAGAAGCCTGCATGAGGTCTGTCTGTTCAGAGATCCTCCCAGAAGGCCCTGGGTCCTGAGCCACAGATGGTAGTGTGAATGTGTGTGTCCGTGTGTCCATGTGTGTCCGTGTGTATGCATGTGCGCGCATGCATGTCCCTGTGTGTGTATATGTTTATATGTGTATGTATGTGTGTGTTTGTGTGCATGCATGTGCACGCATGCATGTCCCTGTGTGTGTGTATATGTTTATGTATGTATGTGTGTCTTTGCGTGCATGTGCACACACATGTGTCTGTGTCTGTGTGTGTGTGTGCATGCACGTGTGCACAAAAGCACGTGCCTGAACACATGGCCATGTTTGGGGCTCTTTCTCCATTTCTCTCTACTTCAGTTTTTGAGACAGGGTCTGTCATCAAATCTTGAGTTGAACAATTGGCTAGACTGGCTGGCCATAGACCATGGGGATCTACACCGTCTCTACCTCCCGGTACTGGGGTACAGATTTTCCCTCAGATCTTATATGGATACTGGGGATGCAAACTCATTCCTCATGCTTAGGTAGCAAGCAATTTACCCACTGAGCCATCTTTCCTGCTTCATCATCAGTATTGTTGAATATCTACTTGATTATCACCTACATTATTTTCATTTTTAAAAGTTACCTTTATTTTATGTGTACTAGTGTTTTGCCTGCATGTTTGTCCGTGTGAAAGTGTCAGATCTTGAAGTTACAGACAGTTGTGAGCTGCCACATGGCTGCTGGGATTTGAACCCCAGTCCTCTGGAAGAGCAGTCAGTTCCCTTAACCGCTGAGCCATCTCTCCAGCCCTCTAATTTAAATTTTTTTTTTGAGACACCATCTCACTTTGTAGCCCAAGCTGATCTGGCACTCACAATCCCCTGCCTCAGCCTCTTTCCTTATGCCAGCCCATCCAAGTTACCCAATTATCTTTCTGTTTAATCTCCCAGCTCTCTCCTTACTTCGAGGCTCTGAAATCCTTACGGATCAGGTGTAGCTTGTCTTTGTACCCTTATGCATTAGCACTCAGCTTGGACATCTCCGCAGCGTGTGTTAAATCAAGGCACTCAGACTTTCCCCTGTGTTTCTCATAGTATTATCGTGCAGGTCAATACGTAAACTCAACGCTTTGCTCCTTGGGATACTGTGGGGCTCAGATCCTCATGTGATTACTGTAACAGTGGGGCCTCCCCCACAGCAGCTGACAGTCCTGTGTCATACAACCTGATGTGTGTGTGTGGGGTGTGTGTGTGTGCTGTAACAGGGGGTAAGAACTTCTCCCGTTTGACAGATAAGACAAGGCTCAGAGAGCTTAACTCATCTTGCCAAGGTCACAGTGACATAGCTATCAGTAGTGGCATTTTCTGCCGGGTTACTCTTGACATTGAGTTTCCTCAGGGTGTCCAGGAAAGCGGTGAGTGCGAATGATGTTTGCTAATAGCTTATGGAGAATCCTGCTGCTGCTTTCTAGAGGCTGAGGTCTCCTGTCTGTTCTTCATACCCACTCCCCCTTCACTGTACCCCACACAAACAAAGGATGGGGTCTGGACAGTGAGACCAAGCCAGAAGCTGCTAGAATGTCCCTCAGTGGCCTCTTTCCCTAGAGTCAGCAGATGTGGGAGCCAGTTCACAGGCCCAGTCAGTCCCCAGAGTAAACCCCTCCCTCACTCTGCTCTGCCTGAGCTCAGTGACTCGAAGAACTAGGTATGTCTAGCTTAGTCTGTGTAGCGTGAAGCACAGTAATACAGGCATATTTTGTAATGTGTATTTTGTCATGAGGACCTTGTAAGTATGGAGGGAGGATAAAAAGGGGGGAGGCAGCCCAGAGGAGGGGCGACACTCATCTCGGAAAAACAGCTCACTTTCCAACAGGTTTAAGGTTTGTCTTAGCATCTTCGGGGTTCACTTCCCCCTCTTTCCCACTGTCTGGTCCTCCCTAAAACTGCGGGCTTTGGCCCTTCTCCGTCTGTCACAGAATGCTGGTTCAGTCCTTCCTCTGGTCCACCTGCATGCCCCAAGTCACAACCCCCAAACTTGGAAGGGCAGTGGCTCATGCTGGGCCTCCCAGGAAACACTGGAAAAGCAACAGGCTGAGGTCCTGGGCCAACATTCCACAGCCTGGCACCAGGTCGGCAGGCTTTGGTGAAATATGCAGGCACAGGCCTCGGTGAGGAGATGCATGCAGAGGTCTCCGGGCCAACTCAACAGCCGGCACTGGAGGTCCAGGGAGGGACCATCTGGAGTAGGGGAGAGCCAGCACCACCTGCAGTGTGGGCGAAATGGTGCATCTGAGTTTGCCAGACATGTAGTTACTGTGGCTGTGATGATTAGCGTGAGATTAGGGCAGCGGTGGGTGGTGGTGGCTTTTAGGACCTCCTGGAATAATTAGCTCTTTGTTATTGGGGTGACCCAGCCACCCTGAGGAATGTACAACCTGTGATGGGGTGGTTCAGTTCTCCATAAGAAGTATTATGGGGGGAGGGGGGGAATGGCTTGGACAGCAAACTGCTTCTTTGCAAGCACAAAGATCAGAGTTTGATTCCCTAGAACCCAGGTTTTTATCTTTATTTTTAAAGGCCAAAAATGTGCACAGTGGCAAGCAATTGGGAGCTCAACGCTGGGGAGACAGGATGATCCCTGGGGCTCAATGGCCAGAGCTTAATTTGGTGAGTTCCAGGCCAGTGAGAGACCTTGTCTCATAAACAAGGTGGACAGCATCTGAGAAATTACACCAGAGGCCTCATCTGCATACACTCACATGCGTGTGCGTGCGCACGCACACACTCACTCCTACACACCCACACACCCACACCACATACATCAACTACTGGTAGGCTCCCCTACCTCTCACCATAATTCTCATTTGGGCAGCAAAGACTTATCTTTCTCAACTTCTATGGCCTAGGCACAGATCCTCAGGATACAAAGATCAAGTCCTCAGCTCTTGGCTGACTTGGGCTCCTCTGATTAGCTTGGAAACCTAGCAACAGAGGGAGCTGGAGCTTGCCCAGTAACGGAGCTGGAGCCCGGGAAGCAGGTGCAGACTGATAGTGAAACAGGAGCGGAGGGCAGCCCCTCAGGAGTGACTTCTCAGCAGCTCAGGGCCCGATGGCTTTGGAAGTTCTTGTGATTCGATTTCAGGCTTGACATGAGAGGTCGGCAGGATGACAAAATGAGCCACAAGCAGGACATGGGCATTTAGCTAATGTGAGCCAAACCTTGCTTTTCTAGCTTCACATTCTTCATGGGCGTGCATGCATGAATGAGCTCGTGTGTGTGTGTGTGTGTGTGTGTGCAGGTGCCTGCACTTGTGTGTGGAGGTCAGAGGGGGATGTTGAGCGTCTTTGTTAACTGCTTTCTACTGTATTTCTTGAGGCAGAGTCTCACTGAAACTAGAGCTTGCCAGTTCTAGCCAGCAAACTCTGGGGCCCTGCCCAGTGCTGGTGTTATAGGTGCACACCACCAGGTATCACTCTTTTATGGGGGTGTTGGGGACCTGAAATTGGGTCCTCATGCCTGCACACTTGACTGCCCAGCCCTTCCTCTGGGTTCTTTAACAACCTTTACCCTTAGTTGGTTCGTACTAGGTGCTGACAATTGTTCTTTGGGGGCCTCCTGGGGATTCTTAAGCAAGAGTCTAGTTCTAAGGAGAGAGTCCTATCCTCTACTCTCCGACTCCAGGTTCACTTACAATAACACACACACCTTCATGGATGGAGGATGGGAGCAAGCCCAAGGAAAGGATGGGAGCAGGGCAGGGTGTGGGTCACGGAGGAAAGATAGCCCAGCCTGGGCAGGGCATACCTGAAGGCCTGGCCTCTATTACGTAGCGTGTGATGGGTCCTTTGCCAGGATCTCCGCTGGACCAGTGGATGGCAATGGCTGAGCTGTACCGAACGATGATTGGCACTCCTGGTGGTCCTGGGGCACCTGCAAACATCCCATAGTGTATAAGGGCATCTGTGGAACCAACACCGCCCTCCCTTTACAACGACCTGTGCTGGTGGTTGGGGGCTGGGCAACCAGATCAACTCTAGTCATGGAGCCTCCAGGACCTCCTGCAAATACTGCGTCCAAAGAGTGTATCTTGGGCCAGGCCTGCCAGGATGTGACTACTGTCTCTTCCAGTTATTCCCACACCTACATTCTGAATCCCAGGGCAAGACATAGGGTAGGTTCTAGAGCAGAGACAGAGGATGAAGGCATGTAAGACCAGCCAGAAATTATGATGTGATCCACTCATGGAATCCTTCAGGGGTGCCTCAGTTTGCCCATCTGCTAGGGCCTTCTGGAAGGAAATTCTGAAAGGAGATACCACAGCGGGCAGCAGAGGTGTTCAGACTGATGGTGCAGTGTACTCAGGGATGGAGGTCTGTTTGAGGGGGTGAAGGTCCCTTTAACATCTCCTTGCCTAGCATGGGATAATGCCCTTCCTGTCTCTTACTTGAAATCTGCTACCCCCACATGCATGTGCTGTTAGGCTAGGTATGGAGAAAGCAGGCTCCTTCCCTAGGAAGCCTAAAGAGGAGAACTTGGCAGAAGGTGTGTCTTGAAGGCTGAGATATCAGAGAGGGAGGGTGGAATAGCAGACAGGAGGCAGCTTGTGTTGACAGATGACTGGGCCAGGCAGCTCTTTTTCCAGCATCCCAAACACTTCACTGGGAGTGTACCAGTACAAGCCTTGTCTCTTCCTGGCTTGTACTTCCTGCTGTGTGTGGTCTCTACCAAGCATGTCTCCCAGTAGACATGATGCTAACCATCTCTAGAGCCTAGCACACGGTAGATGTTTCCTATCTGCTCATAGTACTAGAGTCTGAGGCAGCAGTGTATATGCACGCATGCAGGCTGATTGATGGTCTCTGGCTGCCTGATAGGAAGAGACCACAACTCCGACATCTCACCAAAACCTTCTGGGACCTGGGAGAGCTGTTTAACTCAGACAGGAGGCTGGAGACTTCACACACAGCTGGATACCGCATTGCCAGGTTCCCATATCCACTCCTGATGTCAGTTTTGGAGAGCTTCAGTTTCCCTCTCTTTTCTTTTTCTAAGGAGCATCTTGCTTGCAGCTCATGAAGGGGAGGCATGATCTGAGAGCAGGCTGGGGTGGCCTTTGGAGTCCCCGCTTTTCACTCTGTATAGGACATTGCTCAGGACAGAGAAGAGAGCTACTACTGGCTTTTCTGGTGAGCCAAGGACCACTGGGCTGGTGTTGTCTCTTGCAGATCCCTCCTGGGTAAGGTTGGTTTTCTTCCTTAGTATCCACCCCTCCTCTACTTCTTGTCTGACATCTTCCCTATCCGGTGCCACAAACTCCAAGCTGGAACTCTCTAACAGGCTGTGCTCAGGTGGCCTGCTATTTGCCAGCTCTCTTCTAGCTTTTAAATCCCAGGAAGTCTCAGAGGAGAAGCAGAGCTGCAGTAGCTAGGACAGCTGGGACAGCTGGGACGGCTGCCTCCCGGGTCGTGCACATCATGATCTTACTGATTGAGACATGGGGGTGACAAACCCACAAGCCAGTAGAAGGCAAGAGAGCCTGGGCTCTCCAGGCCGCTTCTTCTTCTAGCCCATGCTCTGGAGAAAGTTCACGTTCTGCTGCTGGTGCTGAGACAGGGAGGGGAAGGAGATGGCCTTGGGGAGGAAGTTGGGCTGGGCCTGGCTGGATCCTTCCTCGAGAGGGTTCATTTGTTCGGGCAGCAGAGTTGCTTAAGAGGTGGTTTGTATGTTCAGCATGGGAAAACCTGAACCCATGACAGGGCCTGTGGAGACTAAACCCTGATCGCCTCAGGGTCCTGGATGGAGAGTGGGAAGTGACGGAGACCAGGGACAGTGACAGAAAAGATTAGGGTGGGACTGCAAGGGAGGAACATTGACATGCAAGTACAAAGTGGCCTTCTTTCTATCTGTAAAAGCATCTGGGAACACTGGTGACACAGGTCTCTGGGAGGCAGAGAGGCAGAGGCAGGAGGATCCCTGAGTTCAAGGCCAGCCTGATCTACAGAGTTAGTTCTAGGGCAGCCAGGGCTACACAGGGAAACCCTGTCTTGAAAATGGGAAAAGAAGGGCTGAGGGAGAGATGGCTCAGTGGTTAAGAGCACTGATTGCTCTTTCAGAGGTCCTGAGTTCAAGTCCCAATAACCACATGGTGGCTCACAACCATCTGTAATGGGATCTTCTTCTGGTGTGTCTGAAGACAGCGACAGTGTACTCATATACATAAAATAAATATTTGTTTTTTTTTTTTAAAAAAGAAAGAAAATGGGAAAAGAGGTGTCGGGTGTTGGGGAAGGCAGGCAGGCCTGGCTGCCAGGAGGTTGCCTGTGTGTCAGAGAGTTACTGGAGGTGCCAGTGTCATTGTTAGAGGAGACAACTGCATCTCATGGAAACCAGAAGCTCTGTGTCCACCCAGGGAGCCTACAACTGGACAAGAACTGGGGAAGTCTCCTGCACCCTGTTCTAAGAACCTCTGCTGGGTGGGAGATGGGGAGGTTCAGGGAGGTGATTCTGGCCAGGATGGAGGTTTGGACACCTGCCAGGCTGCCTCCTTCCTGGACAGAGGTGACAGGAGCTGAGGTGACAAAGGCTGAGGGTTAGAGAGGAAGGAAAGAAAGAGCAATGGAAACCTTCTCCGTTGTAGTGGCTCACTCTTGAAAAATCGGCACTTGAGCGACTGAGGCCTGAGGACCATAAGTAACAGGCCAACCTGGGCTCTATATTGAGGCAGACCCTGCGACAGCCTGGGATGTGTGTATGGGCCTGCATGACGTGAGGGTCTGGGTCAGTCCAGGCTTGGTCAGGAATAGCCCAAGGACTTAGATGCTAATAACCAAGCCTAGAATGAAGACTAGAGTGGAGCCCAGAGGGGGGACAGTGAGGAAGGGGGAGTCAAGAAGACGGAGAGGGAGGGAGGGAGGGGGGAGGGAGGGAGGGAGGGAGGAAGGGAGGAGCCTTGGGGCAAGAGATAGAGGAGTAATACGCTCTCTGCTTCCCACTCTCTTCAGAACTATCTGTAAACCTCCTGGGTCTCTGTTACTTGGAGGCCTGAGGATGCGGTGTATAGGACATTGGGACACCTCTCCTACCTTCTCCAGGGCCCGTAGTGATGTTGGCTTCAATCTCAGGCCCGTAGGTGAAGGTCTTGGCTTTGATTCGGAAACGATAGGTCATGCCCTCGGTCAGATCCTTCACTTTTAGCCACAGTGGGCTGTTCCCCTTCACGTCCACGGTCACAATCTTGCTGACCCCTGTGGGGAAGGACTGTGAGTAGGGGCTACAGTAGCTGGTAGGAACAGGGCCACCAAGGCCACACTGGCAGCTACTGGGAGGAGGTGATGGTTTGTGGCCTCCATCTCTTGAAATCAGTGTGGGCTGTCACTCAAGTCCACAGGCTGCCAACGCTGTGTCAGGAACATGGCTCTGAGAAAGAGCTCAGGGAAAAACGCTCCCTGGTTAAAGGACCTGGAGGAAAGCTATGTCCTGTCTGCCCAGTCCAGAACAGTCACAAAGTCTCCATTCTCTGTCACTGCTATACCACCCGTCAGCCCATCCCCATGCCAATGTCTCACAGAACGTGACATTCAGACAGCCAGTGTGGGACGTTCTGTGAAGATACCTCCAGCATTGGAGCTGGATGGTACCCGGTGACTACTCTAACCCCCTCCCCAGCCCCAGTTCCACCTTCTGGGCTCTTCTTGGCCAATGAAAGCCTAGCTCCAGGGCCCCATCATCTGTAACCATGTGGCTTTTAGGGATGAAGCTTCAGCACCTCAGGTTATGGCTGCCAGGGGCAGGAATGGGGGCTTCCACAAGGTGGTTCTGGGTGCTCTGTACTTTCCCAAGCCCAGAGTCTCCCTGAGAGTCAGGACCAGGTTTTGCCCTCTTATAGAAGGTGTCTACTGGTCACCACAGAACCTGCTGTAGCCCTTAAACTTGTCCTTGTGTGTGTATGTATGAATTCCTTTGAATGTGCAAAAAAAAAATATATATGTGTGTGTGTGTGTGTAGTGTATGTGTATATATATGTGTGTATATATATGTATATATGTGTATATGTATATATGTATATATGTATATATGTGTATGTATATGTGTGTATATGTGTATATATATGTATATATGTATATGCGTGTGTGTATATATAAATAATCTAGTTTCAGTTTCTTCTTCCAACAAGCCAGAGGATCAGGAGCATCCCCAATAAGGAAACGGAGCTTCACATGAAAGGAGAGAGCACCAAACACATAGTAACTACTTCATTTACTTAAATTTATTTATTTATCCCTTTTTTTTTTTTTTTTTTTTTTTTTTTAGACAGAGCTTCTCTGTGGCCCTGGCTGTTCTGGAACTTGCTCTGTAGACCAGACTGGCCTCGAACTCAAGAGCTCTACCTGCCCCTGGCTTCTGAGGTGCTAGGACTAAAGGCATGTGGCACTGCTGCCTGACATTTTTTCCTTTTCCTTAGATGCTAATAATCCAGCATCGAGCCCAGGAGGGAGAAGAGTGGAGCAGTGGATATTTTGCTTACACGTATGTCTGGGTACCACTTGCATGCCTGGTGCCCGAGGAGGCCAAAGAGGGTATTGGATTCCCTAGAAGTGGAGTTATACACAGCAGTGAGCTGCTGTGTGGGTGCTTGGGAATTGGCCCTCTGTAGTGGCAGCCAGGACCCTAAACTGCTACGCCACATCTCTAGGCCGTATATATTTCTGAGATAGGGTCTCTAGTGATGCAAACTAGTTTCAAACTTCCTGTATAGCTAAGGAACCCCCTGAACGTCCATCTCCATGCCCCCACCTCCTGAGAGGTGGAATTATGGGCGTGAGCTACCATGGCTAGTTTATGTGGTGCTGGGCATGGGATCCAGGATTCTCTGTGTGCCAGGTGACCACTGTACCAATGGAGCCTCACCTCTAACCCCTTTCACATAATAAATGAGTCCTCTTTGATCTGCTGAGCAAGCCCCTTCCTGGCTTTCTCCATAAGAAATTGGGGAGCTGCTGGGCTGCTCCAGAACTATGGCATAGTCTCCATGGAGACCCTTACTCAGGAACCTATAAGGACACAGAGTTTAGGCCCTGATGGAGTAAGATCACTAGAGTCCAAGGACTCCATTTCTCAAAATGGGAGGTCTCTGGATAGGCCAGGTAAAAACCACTCAGACAAGAGCCTGTCTAGGTCTCCTGCAGCTTGTCTTCGTGATCTCTGACCTAGCCCTGCTCTTGCCTTCATCTCTTTCCAGGCCCTGCCTCCCCTGTGGTTCTGATGCAGCCCAGCTCTGCAGGATAGGCTGCTGGCACCCAGGTGGTGGCAAGAAAGACTGAGGACTGTTGTTCCCACCACTGACCAAGAACTGGAGCTGCCTAATGTTCCCAGCTTCTGCTGCTTGTTCTTACCAGGCTCCAGTGCTAAGAGGTATGTGAGTGACATAGAAGTGGTCACTTCCTGCCACCAGGGTGTCACTTCTAAGGCAGTCTTACCTCTATGCCTTGTTGTTAAGTAGACCCAGCCATTGAAAAGCCCGGCCCCTTTCTTGCCTCTAAGTTCTCTTAAAAGATAGCTTCGGGATAAAACAGTGGTGACTTCTGGGGACTAATGCTCACCCCTGGCTCGGTCCTATCAGTTAGCATTGGGCTGCACTGTGTGAGAAAGCTGGCAGGTACCCGATGCCAACAGGCAGGGCTGCCAGTCCAACCCTTTCTGAGAGTCCCAAAGAGGATCAAGGGTCTGGATGGGGTGCCTGAGAAGGGAAGAGGTGGAGAGAGAGAGAATGATCTGAAGACAGTGCAGATGACCTAGGCGAGGACAGTCATTTGCAGAGCAAGAGTGTGGTAGCTGTCCTCCCTCACACATCATCCTGGGGGAGACGCTTTCATTAGATTGCTAAAAGGGTCCCTGACCCTCCAAAGGGGGTGTGCTGAGAACTCTGAGGTTTGGAAGGGGGCCAGGATAACATGAGAACACCAGAGGACTCTTTTCTTTGGGGTCTTGTCCATTCTTGGGGCAACTATATTTTGCTTGGATTCCCTCTCTCTCTTCCTGATTCAGGAACAGGATGTCCATGTTACAGGTCCCCTGCCTGCACAGGAGACGGCAGCCCTACGATGCTGTTTCCGTTTTGTCCTCATATACTTTTCTCTCAGAAACACTCCTTCCCTGGGTCACTCTCCCCATTTATAAGACAGGAAGATTCTCACTACATCTAACTGCTGAGGAGTGATCATGGTATCTGGGTACAAACCAGCCCTTGAAAAGGGAGAGTTCAGGCCACGAGGGAGATCCCCACTTACCATCCACTGGGGTGCAGGGTTCATACACCAGCCGGTAGCCCTCCAGAGGACCGTTGGGGAATTGTGGGGCGTCCCAGGACACATTCACTGAGGTAGTGGTCAGTTCGCTGAACTTGACTGAGCCTGGGGCACTGGGGGCTGTGGAGAGACAGCAAAGGCCTTTTTGTTTTTCTCTTTCTGTGGAAGTGCAAAACCTCAGGTCCGGCTCCAAGCAACTAGCAGGAGCTCTTGGGTCCATGCCCGGGAGGAAGGGAGAATGAGGCTAGGCACAAGAAGAAGGCAGGAAAGGTCAGCTAAGGCCCTTGAAATCTCTCTTCCTCCCTTGCCATCACTAGCTCTCAGCTGTCTAAGAGCAGAGGCTCTGGCACTGGGAGAAAGACCTCCTTAAAGATGGAGAATCTGGACTCTCTCCTGGGTGGCTCTGAGCCCTGGCTAACAGCTTGGGACCAGTTACTGCATTACAATGGATGACCCCTGAAGGTCACTGTGGGGGCAAGACCATTTCTTGCCACCATGGGGTGTGTTTTTCAGCACCCTGCTAGAGTGGGTGGGGTGCCTTGGCCTCATATACAGAGTGGGCGCTAAAGGAGATGTAAGCACTCTGGAGACATGGCCTTCCTTTCATCCCTGGGTTGCAGGGCTTGCATAGAGACATCAAGCTGGCAGCAGGAGCCAGACCGAGGACTGCCAGATCCTCTGGAAGAGATGTTTTCTTGTTCTGAGACCCCTGGGGTAACTCTGAAAACACAAGGATGGAAGATTCTGGTGTGGGGGTAGGGGTGGGGCTGGGAAATGGGAGGGCATACAGGCAAGACAGGAAGCACCCCCAGCCTCCACCCCCCAGCGTCCCAATCTGGTTGGGTGGATGGCCAGGCTATTATTGTCCAGTGCTGCCTCCCACCAGGCCAGAACTAATCTTGACAGCTTCCGGCTCCATCTCCCTGGCTGTCTTTGAAGGAGGGAGGTGAATTCAGGGCCCTTTCCTGCCCTCCCCCTCAACACACTAGGGGGTTAGAAGGACGTGGGACAGGACATTCTGTCCTGCTACAGAGCCGGAAGCTTCTAGGCTCCTGGGGGGCTCATATTTGACCAGTGACACTGATGAAATGTCTTGAGATGGGCAGGCAGGCAGATGGATAGGCTAGCACACCCCAAGCACAGCCTCTGGCTGACAGGGGAGCCAGTGGAGGGAAAGGCTCCTCTGGAGTGGGGTCTTGTCTCAGAGAGGATCCTGGTTATGAACTGTCTCTGGTAGTTTGCTTTCTACACCTCTTTAAGACTAGTGGGGGCCCCAGTAAGGAAGGTATCAGGCTGGGAAAACCTCTTTCTGGGGGCCAGGGCAGAAGGCTGTACTAACGGGTGATTTATTCTAACAAAAATCTGAGGATGGTTGTTTCATATAAAATGCCATTTTGGCATATAAGCTATGTCCCCCTCCCTCTTATCTGTGGTGTCAGCAATTAAACCCAGGGCATCTTTCTCAGGCTAGGCAAGTGAGGTACCACTGAGATGTCACCTATCCCTTCCCATACATGTTAACTCATTTCCAGGTTACTTATGATTCTTGATACAACGTGAATAGTATTGTATCTATTTATTGCAAAGTTGTTATTTATGTGTCTGTGTGTCTGTCACATGAGCACACATGCCCATGGAGGTGAGAAAAATAGGGGTCAGGTCCCCTGGAATTGAGGCTATAGGTAGTTGTGAGATGCTTAGAGTAAGTTCTGGGATGGAACGGGCAGCAATGGTTGTAACTGCTGAGCCATCTCTCCAGCCCTGACTTTGAGCTCTTGCCCTTCCTGGCTTCACCTTTAAGTGCTTAGATTACAGGTCTGTGCTGCCGTGCCCAGGCAGAAGCAATTTGGGGGAATATTTTCCTTTCTTGGTTGGTTGAATCTGCAGATGTGAAATTCATGGCTTTGGAGGGTTGACACGTGGGAAAAAAAAAGAAAAAAAAAAAGCAAGAAACAAATGCTCCTGAATTCTCTCAGATCTGCTTTGGTTTCAGCATCTGCTCTTTCTCCTCTGACCAGGGAATCATGAACAAAAAGCATGTTTTCTGGGGGCCCTGCTGTTAAACAGAGACAACACTCACTGCTCACTCCCTGGGACTTCTAGGGCAACCCAGTGTGACACTGACCAAAAAGTGGCTTTGGACACCTCAGGACAAGAGGATCTACCCTCCCTCCTTCCTCCGTCCTGCCTGGGTCTAGTCTCCACCTCTCTGTCGGCTCCCTCCAGACTCTCAGCCCGGAAGGCAGAGCCAGTTTTTCAAAACATAAAAAGATCTAGTTCCTTTTAAAATCCTATTTATTTATTTTTATTTCATGTGCATTGGTGTTTTTGCCTGCATGCAGGTCTATGTGAGGGTGTCAGATTCCCTGAAACTGGAGTTACAGGCAGTTAAAAGCTACCACATGGGTGCTGGAAATTGAACCCACGTCCTTTAGGAGAGCAGCCAGTGCTCTTAACCACTGAGTCAGCCCGAGTTCCAATTCTCAGCCGCTCAAACCCTTCTGTGTCTCCCCATCACACTGAACACAAATCTGTTTCCAGACCATTGGGGACTCGGCTGTCACTCCACTCTTGTCAACACCAGGTTCTGTTCCTCTAATCCCCTCCAGCCTCTAAGCTTCTGCACCTGCTGGTCCTTCTGACAGGAATCCTGCTTCCTGCTTGTCTCCAGAACTTCCCACAGCTGGTCTCCTCTGGCTCAAAGCTCAGTTCAGGTGTAGCCATCTTGGCCAGGTCTGTCCAAAGTGAACTACACCCTGCTCCCCTTAGCCCCCCTGTACCCCCAGCCTGCTCATCAGGGCTTGTTTACATCCTGTCCTGTGGTCCTCACCAGGACGCAGACTTACTGTCTTTTTTTTTTTTTTAAATCATTGTTTCATCACCAGCATGAAGCACAAGTGTGGGCTCACAGAAGACAATGAACGTGGGGTGGGATGAACAAAGGCAAGGAGACAGAAGAAAGGAAAGGAGCAAGCAAGCCAAACAGGGGAGTGTCCCAAAGTCTGAGGCCATGTGGGCAGAACAGGCTAGGTGAGATCTGGGGACTTTCTCAAGGTTCCCAGTGAGAGTTTCTTTCTTTCTTTCTTTCTTTCTTTCTTTCTTTCTTTCTTTCTTTCTTTCTTTCTTTCTTTCTTTCTTTCTTTCTTTTTTTTCTGGACACATAGAGCCTTCTTCTTCTTCTTCTTCTTCTTCTTTTTTTTTTTTTTTTTCTTTTTTTTTTGGTTTTTAGAGACAGGGTTTCTCTGTGTAGCCCTGGCTGTCCTGGAACTCACTCTGTAGACCAGGCTGGCCTTGATCTCAGAAATTCACCTGCCTCTGCCTCCCAAGTGCTGGGATTAAAGGCGTGCGCCACCACTGCCCTGCCATAGAGCCTTCTTTGCAGGCTCTCTTTCCATAGGGCATCCAGAAGTGGGGCCTGGGTATCCATACCCAATTCCCCGGCTGCATGAGACAGCTCCCACACCAGGTGTGGACACCAGTTTGTCCTCACAAACTGACACCCTCCCCTCCAAGGCTTCTCCCTACCTGCTTGCTGAGTTTGGCCCTGGGTTGGGGTGCTCCGAGGCCCATCCCCCGCAGCATTGAAGGCGGCCACGCTGACCATGTAGGCAGTGTAGCCCGTCAGGTTCTTGAGTTTCACGCTATTCTCAGCCAGGAAGAGAGTCTTCACCCTCTCCGTGAGGTTCCTCCGCTGGACTTCCCAGAAATAAATCTGTGGGAACCAATGATTGTGGGATGAGAGGGGTGATATGTTTCCCCTCCGCCTCTGCCCATCTCAGGGTTCAAAAACACCTCTGCTTTCAACCAGGAAAACAAGATGGAAGTATCTAAGAACTATTTAAGAAGGATTCCAGAACTTTCCTTTTATTAGCCAATACCCATCCTCTGCTCGACTGTAAACCTCATCCCCTTGTGTTTCTTGTTTCTCTGTGGTTGATATCTGTTGCATGTAACACAGATGTGTCAGCCTCAGAATAGGAATCTGTGTCTCACAAGCCAGAGCGGGAGAGGCGAGAACAACCCTGGGCTCTGCTCGGCTGTGTGGGGCACAAGGACCAGCAGCTTGGGAATGCCAGGGCACTGCTGAGGAGCAGAGAACCTCAGCTCTGCCCTGTGTGCCATAGTAGCAGCCTCAGCTGTCAATGCTCCTGTAAAAAACTCCCGTTGTAAAGTTCCTGGTGGTGCATATGCACAATCCAACCTGATACCTGTGGATCAAAGTCTGCAAAGTCTGCTGCAGGGGAAGGCTGGACTAAGGAGGCATTTGGTTTGTGGCTGAATTCTGATGGCACCATTTGCTAGGCATGAGGCTTGGTCAGGCACAATTTCTCTCAGCTGCAGAGGGCTTAAGGACACGTGCTTTCCGGGGTGAGCAAGAAGGCTACAGGCCGTAAGGACTGGTTAGCTTCTAAAGGTATTGTTACATGGTTGTGGAGGACTTTAGGCCCTCAGCGCAGCAGGAACTTTGTGGAGCCTCCGGGCGCTCTATAATGGACATGGTTAGCGCTTTTAAACACACATGGAAGATTATCAAACTACATTAAGAACATTGAGCTGGGACTCTATAGCCTGGCATCCTAAACCTTGTACAGGATTGGAGATCATTTGGCGCCATCTGCTGGCCAAAGAGGGTTCTGAACGCTATTGGCGTTTCCTTTCCTCAGTACCAATAAAAGAAGGAAAGAGCTAATAAAAGTGTCCGCCCCCAGCGTGTGCAAAGGCAGTTAGGACATCTTGCTACTACAAAAGATGTGCTTCTCTATAGCCTTGCTTCCGTTTTTAAAATTCTTTTTATATGGAGAGTTGAGGTCTTCATTCATAAAAACACCCACTCATCCACTGACTATCAGAATGCAACAGCCACAATAAACTCTCCTGAATTCATCATTCTGGGAAGAGCTCGAGGCTAGCTTTACAGCTCTGCACACTCCCTGAGCGTCAACAGTTTGCCGAGGACAGGCAGAGAACTGCTGGATTCTTCAAGCCCGAGGAGCGGGAGAGACAGATTCCTGGGGCCTCTGTTGAGATGCAGGGGGAGCTGGAACAGCAAAGGAGACCGAGGAGGGGTGATGGGCTGTGTGAGGAGAAACAGGCAGGAGAATGTCATGTCTCAACTGTGTAAGGAACAGTGCTGTGGAGACAGGCTGGGTGAAGTCTGTGTCCTGTTGACAAAGAACAGGGTAGATTTATCAGCAGCCTTAGCGGGGTGAGATTTGGAGGGGCGGGGGAGGACGAGGACGTATTTGGAGTGGAGTGTGGAGAAGAGAATAGAGGGGCAGCTTGAGAGGGGTGGAGACTGTGGGTGATTGTCTTTGATTTCTTTCTTCCCCTCTCTCCCCTTCTTCCTACCCTCCGCTGAAGGATATCTCTCCCTCGGCTGAAGATCGAGCCTGAGTTTTATGTATATGTCTCATGCCCGTGTATTACCAGAGCACAGCAAACTGTTAGCAAGTACTTTACTGTTTAGTGATGTCCCTATCTCATGGAAGAAGCCTTGAATCCTCCAGTAAAGAGACCAAGCAAGGACATAATGAGATGTGAACAAAACCATGAGGTTAGGAAAGGGCATTAGAAAAGGAGATAAGGGACTGGAGAGGTGGCTCAGTGGTTAAGAGCATCGAGTGTTCTTGCAGAGGTCCCAGGTTCAAGTCCCAGCACCCACACGGCAGCTCACAACTGTCTATAACTCCAAGATCTGATACCCTCACACAAGATATACATGTGGACAAAACTCCAATGCACATAAAATAAACAAATCATTTTTTAAAAAGGAAATAAGGGACTTGGGAGATGGCTCAGTGGTTAAGAGCACTTACTGCTCTTGAAGAAGACCTGGGTTCAGTTCCCAGCACCCATCTAGTGGCTCAGAATGTCCTATAAGTCCAGTTTAGGAGATCTGATGCCCTCTTCTGGCCTCCTTGGGTCCCCGTGCTGCACATGAACTCATGCAGACAAGCACACAACATATACAAATAGTAAATAATGAACAAAAGAAGAAACAAATTTCAGAATGCCTCCAGGGCCTGCCTGTGATGGGCCCTAGAGGGAGATATGAGGTGTTGTCGGGGAGACAGGGTCAATGGCTGGGGCCATGCCCTTGGGCAGGGCAGTGTCCGAGGTGGAGGACATACAGAAGCAGGGTGCCTGCTTGCTGTCAGTAGTCCTTTGTTAGATGAGGATTCACAGTAAAAGGGACGGGGGGCTGAGTCTGGATCCTGGTCCCCAAGGTGACGTGATTGATTGGTGGAATGCCCACCATGGGCATTCCATGGGGAATTCACTCATGGGGAAATGAGCATGTACTGAACCCAGTCTGTGGGCTCCAGAGGGCAGGCACCCCGGTCCATCTGGTTCCCTCGTGTCCCAGGCATCTATAATCACACCTGACCCATGGTTGATACATAGATCAACAGATATGTCATGGGTGAAAGTGGCTGGAATGGCAATGGATGACCCTGTCACCATTTCTTATCTAGTGGTTTTTATTCCAAGCCTGCTACCCTTTTAATCACTTTTCTGACCCATAGTTGATGAAGTTTTTCTTTCTTTCTTTCTTTTCTTTTCTTTTTTTTTGAGACAGGGTTTCTCTGCGTAGCCCTGGCTGTCCTGGAACTCACTCTGTAGACCAGGCTGGCCTCGAACTCAGAAATCCGCCTGCCTCTGCCTCCCAAGTGCTGGGATTAAAGGCATGTGCCACCACTGCCCAGCTAGTTGATGAAGTTTTAACAGAATTAAGGTATATAATTAATGTTCTTTTTTCTTTTGTTGTTGTTGTTGTTTATTGGTTAGAACCAGAGCCCAGGGCCTTGAGCATGCTCAGAAGCACCCGATCAGCACTGGGGACCCAGCCAACCTGTTGTTGTTATTATTATTACTATTGTTATCATTATTTATTTTATTTTATTTTTTGGAGGTAGGACTTACATAGAGCCCAGGCCGCTCTTGATTTTACAAAGTGACTGAGGATAACCTTGAGCCGATCCTCCTGCTTCTACCTCCTATGTGCTAGGATTATAGGTGTAGGCCCCCACGCCTGTTGTTTTGTGCCTGCAGGGGCTCAAACCCTAGGAATCATGAATACCAACCACTCTACCAGCTGAGCCCCATCCCAAGGCCTCTGGTGTTTTCAAACCTACCCACTGTGGACCACTGTCAAGACAAGCTGATTGGTACCTGTCAAACTCCAGAAGTTACCTCTTTTTTTTTTTTTTTGACTTTACAATTAAAAAAAACAACACAATTTATTAACATAGATTTTAAGCACAGTGATTAAGAAATTATTGAAACGAGTGAACAGAATGATTGAGAAAGAATAAGAAAAACCTATATATTTGGGTATGGGCTTATCCCCCCTGCCCTTGCTGGATAAATAGTATTATAAGGTGGATCAGAAGGTGGTGTGTGTGTAGGTAGAAATAGTCGCTGATGAGGTAGAAGCAGGAGCTGCCTTGCTTGACACGTGGTAAAGGGAATATCCTTTTCCTGTACTGGGCGTTTATGGTGAAAACTGCGGGACTATAATTGGAACAAAAGCCTTTAAACAAATGCTTCTAATTGTGTTAAATCCCTGACCCACAGGTTACCTTTTTCGATGCACAGTAAGAACCTTTATGAACAACGTTCAACTTACACGCTTCAGGTACACACTACTGTCTTATAGGCTTGGCTAGCATCCTGCAGGTTAGAGCCAGGAACGGGTTCATCCTTACGTGCCTGAGACTCTTTTGGCTGTTTTTATTTCTTTGAGATAGGCTCACTCTTCCCCAGGAAGGCCTGGAACTCACTCTGTGGCCCTGCCTCAGCGTTCTAAGTGCCGGGATGAAAGGTGAGCGCTGCCATGTTTGGATTGGTACTTGAATGCCCACGGTACTTGAATGCCCATGGTTTTCCACTTTCATTTTTGAGACAGCACTTGGGTAACGGAAACAAGAGGGTCAGAAGTTAAATGTCAAGCCGGGCGGTGGTGGCGCACGCCTTTAATCCCAGCACTTGGGAGGCAGAGGCAGGCGGATTTCTGAGCTCCAGAGTTCAAGGCTAGCCTGGTCTACAGAGTGAGTTCCAGGACAGCCAGGGCTACACAGAGAAACCCTGTCTCAGAAAAACCAAAAACCAAAAAAAAAAAAAAAGAAGTTAAATGTCATTGTTAGCGACACAGTGAATTCAAGACCACTCTGGGTTATATGAGACCCTGTCTCAAAACAAATTGTAAAAGCCTGTCCCATGGCACCTATACCACTGGCTGTTATTAGCCTGGGGCTGGAGAGATGGCTCAGCTGTTAAGAGCACTGACTGCTCTTCCAGAGGTTCTGAGTTCAATTCCCATGTGGTGGCTCACAACCATCTGTAATAAAATCTGGTACCCTCTTTTGGTGTGTCTGAAGACAGCTACAGTGTACTCATATACATAAAATAAATAAATAATTCTTAAAAAAAGAAGAAGATAGCCAGCCCTCTGGCAAGAAACTAGAAGCCTCCCGTGCCATCATTGGAAATGTAAAATGGCGTAGCTACAGTGGGAAACAGTCTGGAGTTCTTCAAAGAACATTAAAAATAGAATTACCATATGATCCAGCAATCTCATTTCTGGGAATGCATCCAAAAGTATTAAAATCAGGATCTTGAAGAAGATATTTACACTCCCATGTTATGCCATAGTAAGAACCACAATAGCCAGGATGTAGAAAATCCAGGCACTCTATTGCACACCTGTCA